GCATTAGAGAGCAGGGGCGGCCTGCTCCCCAGTGCAGAGGGCTGGAACACGCCGGTGTGCACCATGCGCTGCATTAGAGAGCAGGGGCGGCCTGCTCCCCAGTGCAGAGGGCTGGAACACGCCGGTGTGCACCATGCGCTGCATTAGAGAGCAGGGGCGGCCTGCTCCCCAGTGCAGAGGGCTGGAACACGCCGGTGTGTCCTCTCCCCCCAGGGTAGATAAAACCGAACACGCTCTGAATCCTGCAAGGCCTTCGGCCTGTACCACTAAGAAAGGGGGAGTGGGGGAAGCAGCAGAAGAGAAAGGGGCTGCTGAGGTCTTCATCTCTTCATCCTAGATATTTTTTTTTTTTTTAAAAAGGTGACCCCTGGGACTGTACCATTAATGGGGGGGCAGAGCGGTGAACTTCAGCTGATCAGTGAGGTATGAGGCCTGTTTATTCCCCATCGCACAGCATTTCTTCACACCGCAGATTCCGACCTCCTTCCTAGGAACACCGCGGCCCCAGACCCTTGGGCAGTCCGTAATCCCGTTTTAGCTCGTCAGGCCGGCACAAACCTCTTTTCGTTATACGTTACTGTGGCAGCGGGACCCTCCAAAGACGGCAATGTGTGAGTGGGTGAGTGGGCCCCCACCTTCCTGTTGCTGGCTTGGCAACCCCCCACCCCGGAGCTCCTGAGAGCTGGCCCCTCCCCCGGCGCCCCCTGCAAGCGTGCTCAGAGCACCTGCAGCTGCTCCGCTCAGGTGACCAGATGGATGTGGCAGGGCCCAAACACCGGGGGGCAGAACGGGACACACGGGTGTAATATTTTTGACTGATTACAGTCTGCTGATAGAAACGACATATTTATTTTATTACAAGACGCTAAGTCTATACCGATGGAAATGATTCTCTGGCAAATGCTATATAACAATCAGCGATATCGCCAGATTTTAAGTGTTACATTAAATTCATGCCCGCAGATTCACTGCAGGTCTCTTTGTGAACTACAACATCACTTCCTCCAGTGTAGCAGACCTTTACAGAACAGGAACTGCGTGGCTTTATAACTAACAGGGCAAAGCATTACGATCTGGGTGTCGCTGGCATCTGCGTTGCTATTAAAGTGGAAATTCCCCAGAGAAAGTAAATGGTCACATGATCAAGGGTGAAAGTGAGGTCACATGGTGTCTGGTGATACATGTAGCACAGGAGTTCCCTCATGTCGCACGCAAACATTCAGTAACTTCGTGTTAACACTCTGGAGGCACTGAGGCGTGTTCTACTGTGCGTTTTTACTACTTTGAGGGGCACCACGTCCAAATCTGTCTAACACAAAGTTTAAAGCATTTCAATGTGTGAAAAAACACAAATACATTAACCCAGCAACAGTGGTGGCGGCCAAGTGTGAACGAAACCCAGTGTGACTCCAGACCCAGTTCACGGAAACCGGTTCCTAAGACTCTTCCGTGTGATTCCATCCCTAACTTCTGCCAAGGTAGACGGCTGGAACGCAGCCCTAAACCAAGGAAGCGAAAAAAAAAAAGAAAAGAAAATCACACCGATTTCCAGCGCCTGCCATTTTAACCCTGCTCAGAAAGTGTGCGGAACTAGCTGACGACTTCACAGATTTCATTACACAGACAATTAACCCCGCTGACCCCGACGGCGGAAAGCGATTCTCACCGGAGGGGGTCCTCTCCCGCCGCCGAGACACGCGGCAAGAGGAAACATTACCTGGGCTGACATTGACAATTAACACATCTTTCTCTGCTGATTACGTTAATTTATTTCTGATTTGGAGGCAATTTCAGAAGCCCGCGCGCAGCAGAAAGCTCAGACGGTATGTCATCGGATGCCCTGCCCCTTTTACCCTCGTTTTGAAATAATTATCCACTCCAGACAACAGTAATTGCATGTACCTGTGTCCTGCTCGTGAAGCTACATAATCCTCTGATTGTAGAACAGCCTCAGTAGCCCGCCACAGATGTTTCCATAATCTATTTGCTTAGCAGCCATTTCTAAGCAAGACTAAATCTTTGAATATCTATGTCACATTTCTATGCCTATAACCACCTATAATTTCTATGTCAAGTTTGTCGGTTCTTCCCACAGGGCAGGTGACGACATGGTTGTCTATAGGCCTTAGACATGCACTGATCCAGTGGAAGGTGTCACGGGTCCTTGCACACGACCCATAAAGCCACACCCAGCAAAGGAGCTAAGACTTTTGTACTCTTAGCTATTATTAAAATGTTTTTTGAAGACACCCGCTAATGGAGATGCTTTAGTGCGAGAACCCTGACAGGCTTTAATTACAGTGGGAGCACCATCCTAAAGACACTTTGTCAATTGTTGAGTCCTAAAAAAAAAAAAAGCTTTGGATAAAAAAATTTATGTTAATAAAAAAGGCTATAAATTGGCTTATGCATCTGCAGTCCATTTCAAGGTCTCTTCCATTCCAGAGCATTTAGAAGGAAATAATCATACAGCAAACACCCCCCCACCCAGTTCCAAACCCCGCTCCCAGAACCAGACCACACCACCAGCCCCACCTCCCCAAAAGCAGACACGTACCTGTGAAGCAGACGGGACACTTGAAAGTGCCACCCATGCCCTCAAAGCTGTGCTCGATCAGGTGACACTGCAGTTTGGCGGGTGAGTCGAACGACTGGCTGCACAGCTTGCACTCGTGGTTCAGTCCTTCCTCTAAAGTGGGTGAAGAAACAAACAGGGATCTCAGTGCTGTTCGGACAGAAAGCAGCCGAGGGCAAGATTCAGGCCAGATTTCACTAGACTTCCTGACTCCAGGCATGTTTCCAGGGACTACTGATTGGCATGTTACCTTCTACAACTGGTACCCTCCGTACTAGCATTTTCAGGATGGAGTGCAGAGTCTGGGGTAGGAAGAGGATGGGGCAAAAGAAGAGAGGAGTGTAGAGTCTGGGGTAGGAAGAGGATGGGGCACCAGAAGACTGAAGTGTAGAGTCTGTGGTAGGAACCATAGGCAATCAGAAGTAACATCTGCAGCCAGAAACCATGAGAAATGAGTAGAAAATACCATAAAAAGCCCTCAAACTTGTGTTGGATGGCACTGCTTTAATTGGACTTCCTCATGCATTGTTATCCACACGGATCCTCTTAAGCAGGAATGCCGAGATCACAAAGCCATTGGTCACTCCAGCTTAATAAGCGCCCATGAGTGTCATTGTCTCACACCTGAGTGTAAGGAAATTCCCCACGATGCCATGTCACAAACGAAAGTCAAACCTAACAGGCATTCAGAGGAAATAAATCTTGGGTTTTATCAAAAAAATTGTGCAAATTTTAGCTTTAAGTATCATGAAAGACTCACAGACACCTGTACATTCACGTACACAAGTTATCTCCCTGTTGCATCAAATTCGTAGATGGTTATTTTGGTAAGTTTGCCCGCAGTAAAGAATCTAGCTCCATCATCACAAATAAACACCGTCAGTTACCGGAATGATCTGTATGACCGACCCTTCAGAAGGCCACAATGGGCTCTACGGGAAGGCAGATCCTCACCACCTTTCGGGTCAGGGGACCAGGGCTGACACGGAAGCTTCAGAGAGGCTTGGCCATAGGGTGGGGTTAGTGAGGAGGGTCATGAAGGCCAAGGTCACAGGGGGTCAAGAAGGCGATGATTCTCCCTTAATTGCCGACTTCTGCCATGCGGTGAGATATCTGCACAACTACAGAGTGCTTTGACTGCGATGCCTCCGGCAGGCTTCATCTTTAGTTCCAAGCAAGAAAGTCCGCTGAGCAAATTAATAATAAAATAAGAGCAAAAATGCCCCTTTGTATGGAATCGCACAAACAACAAGCATCCATAGCAGTCTGCTACCAGAGGGGCAAAATGGATATATGTCTTATTCATCTACAAGAGTAAGACACAGGCAGGGTTTTCGGTACTCTAAGGTGACCTTCGGCCAGCCGACTATGAGGAGGAAATATGTAGCGAATTGGAGCTGTTTACACTTCCTGAGTCACTAGCACAGCACTGATACTCATCAAAAAAGGTCTTCATCCCTTTTCTTTTAATTAAGATCAGCTTAGGTTAATGTTTGGTCACGTTTAGAAAGCAAGGTGATATTTGAGCGACGCTCTCATTGGCTGAGGAGATGATTGACAGCAGATGGAGGTCCTGTGCTACAGCAGGATGCGGTCATGGTTCCCAAACCTAGAAATGCACAGGGTTCCTGAAAACAGGAATAACTACAGCTTCAAGGCACAGATACATAGACTTTTTAAAAATTTCCATATTTATACACACTTAAAATACGTGAACATCACACCCGTTCCCAGTCACACTGTGGAGTTCCAGACATATCACGTTCCTCGCAGTCTTGATCCAGTTCCTGTGAGGATATGGAATTACACATATCCTGTACTCTGGACCGAGCTGTTCTTCTAAACCCCAGACCCAGAGGGGGAAAAACATCAGGACTGTGTGACACATCTTAAGGTTTGGCTGGCAAACAGCAGACACTATGGACATTAACACCACAAATCAGTCACCATAAACCATACCACAAACGCTAACAACTGCACACAGTGAAAGAAATGTATATAATGGTCGACCGAACAAGAACCAGCCCTCTGTGGAACGACAGCACCAGCAACCTCAAATGACCAGCAAGAAAAAAAAAAGATACTGGCCGAGAGCACAAGCAGGGAAGGAAATGGTGACCTCGAGCTTTGTGAAAGTTCGCCAGTCCACCACAGGACGCCAGGACAGAAAGCCCCAGATCCCAGGGGGGTCAACAGTGGCACTGTCACGCTTCATAATCCCGTGGTACGGACAGCCGAAGGACACCGCTTGGTATGCGGCACTGTCCCAGATTCCAAGATCCGCTCCATGGACTTGGACACGGAACCCGCTGAGACCCGGGGGGCTCTGTGAAGAAACCACTCACGATGCTACAAGTGGGAAAGACACAGGCACAGGCCCAACCCACCAGAACCACTGTCACCGAAACCACACAAATGGACCAGATACTCCAGGCACTCATTTCAGTTGTCAGATTCCAAGGGTGATAATATAATTTGCCTCCCTCTGATTCACTAACAGGCACATGATGCAGTAATAATATTAATGACATCATAGGGTGGGTGGAGCCAAATATCATGATGGGTGGAGCTATATGTGACAATTGTTGCAAGGCAATTGTTCCACATTAATCTTTCCAAGGCAATTTAAAAAAGCAGCCATTTTCTAGAACCAAAATAAACATACGATATTAAGACTTTTCTCCTTAAAGAATAAGATATTTTTCCTCCAATCAGAGGTTCAAATATAATATAAAATATAAATTTTACCAAGCTTCTGAAATGACATGTGAATATGACCATTTTTAATTCTACTGGGTCCAACTGTATTCACATGATAAAGGTTTAAAATTGCACTCTATTTCAGCATTTTACCATACATTTTTCTTGTGAGCAGATATTTCTAAACATTCCTTCCCTTAAGATGAATTGTGTTCATTGTTCATATGTAGTACCTCAATACATAACATATAAACAACAACCCCATTTATAAACGAGTTACACAGTCAGTAGATGCTGGATATACTGGACGGATATACTGGTTTTCAGGTTAACATGACCTCGGGAAACATGTTCTGTTACATTAACTGAACAGTGCAACACATTCAATTAAAATTTCAACTAAGCAATTAATTATGAGCCCGGCCGGACTCATAACCAGCAAAAAGGGTTAGGAGACCTAATTTGAATCTTCCCAGTTTATCCCATAAGAACAGGAAACCGCCAAATCGCTAGCCTGATGTCCTGGGACAATCAAGTTTTCCTGTCGGGCTACCAAAACATAACACCCTGCCCAATGGGCTACCAGAAATTATCCGCTGAGTAAAATAAAATTCCCTGCTTTATTTGCCTTTTCTGCTCTTTTCACATGTTATTTGGTGGAAAAACTTTGACCACTGAATGAACAAGCTTTTGCTCATGGTCTCCTAGGAAGTGTACCCTTAAAGCCTGATTTATAGGAGGGCTGAAATTTATTGTGCAATCGCCTCGTGTCGCGATCTTGAATCATTGTCATTCATGGTAATAGAGTACTCTGAGCACTTTAAAGCAAGCAAGTAAATTCAAGTGCGGCTTTATTGTCATACCAGTCATATTCGGTACACTGCACATAGTAACATGAAATAACGTTATATAAGAGCGAATTACAAAGAGAAAACTGACATGACTGGATGGGGCCCAGACAAAATGTTTGTGAGCCGTTCACTTTCATTTCTGAGAATATCGTTAATTGGTCTGGATTTCCAAACATCATTGGTAGCAAAGAAGCAACTGTAGCAAAAGAAAGCGAGTAAAAGTGTGGAGGTTTAATTTATTTCTGGTAGAAAAACTGCAGGAAAACACATGAATGAAATACTTCAGTGTATTCACAGGTAGGTATAAGTATAAATCTCACACTTATTGTTCATTTTTTATATCATCGTTATATTATTATGTTTTATTGTATTATATGTTATGTTATGGTAGCGTTAAGCAGTTACGTCGGTCTGTGCTGTCATGCTAGCATTACAGTGCTGTGCCTGTTGTTACAACAATTCTGGTTTGAATATGTTTGAAAATGAATGTTTTAAAGGCAAATTCTTGGTCAATTTATCTTATCACTGCATGTGCGGCTGCTTTCCCCTCTCGATGTCTGTGATGTTGATAGACTGCTGCGTCCCAAGTTCACTGCTGGTGCCTAGTTGCCTAGTTAATGTTGCCTCTGACCTATATAATGGCGATTACTTAAAAACGATAAGAATGGCCTTTACAATATGTCTCCATGTTGAATTTGTTTCTGCTTTCAGGCAAAAAAAAATATGAAGAATGCCTGACCGAAGGGCTACCAGGGATTTAGAAATTTTGCAAGTCCTGCACCCCCACTCCTCCAGGGGGCAGTGCATGCAGTCACCCTGGCGGAGATTCGTGTGTCCAAAGCTATGCCCACATGCTGCCTTCCCGTAGAGCACGCAAATCTGATCCTGCACAGCAGATCTGGCCGCCTCTGCTCGGCACGGGTACGAGAGAAGGCTGATCTGTTATAATAGGGGTGGGGACTGCCCCCCCAGGAAATCCAATGGCGTCACCGGCGAGTTCACTTCCGGATCCAGCCGGACTGTCCAATCAGCTGGTCTCTGGAGCACAGGCCTATGATGCCTTAGTTCCTGTCCAGTTACAGGCCCCCTGGGAATATCGCCCCCTAGCCCCTGTCATCCCCCTGAAGAGAGCATGTCATTTCCTCCCTCCCAGCCCCACTGTCCTTTCAGCTCACCGTTTCCCAGCTACAGACACTTAAACAAGCCCCGTCTGAGAAAAATCCAAGACATTGCCTTATTTTTCCATTTGCTGACAGAGGTGCAGTTTCGGGGAAGGTGACGCACACAGTAAAGGCTGCTCCGGGACGCGCAGCTTCACCAGAGTATCAGGCAGCAGGATGTTTCTGTCACTTTGTAAAGACGTCAGCGATACTCACAGCACGAGCGCGTTCGTACACACTGAGAATCCCAGAGAGTATGATACTCAAGTATGATATTATATTCATAGACTGTTATATAATAAACCGGGACAGAGATCAGACCACAGGGCACCACCACTCTGTTTGGCTCTGCTGCGGTCACATCAGTCCAAACCCTAGCGAACTACAGCAAAGGGTATAGAGGAACACAGTTTTACAACCAGGGATTCTGATTTTTTGGCTCCCTGGGAAGTGGGTGTGGATAACACAGGCAAGAACAGCTCGACATGACAGGGCTACCTCTGTGCAAAGTAAACGTCTCTAAGGAAAGTGCAGTTTACAGCTTAGGGGAGCCAAATCCCACAGAATTAAACCTGCAAAAACTCTGGAAAACACTGGAAAGTGAGCAGTAACCAACCAAAGAAACACGTGCTAAATAATAATTGTAGATTTACTACTATTATGTTGGTTGAATTTTAATATTACAGCTTTAGACAGCTCAAATGCACCACGATAAAATTATGCATTATTAATAGTTAACATTCATATGGTTCCATGTTTGTATTAGTTTAAGCTTTACCTACAGGTACTAAATGTACCTAATTCTAGTGCAGTGAATCCAGCCAAAAAGATACCCAGGAGATTCGGTTTGGGGATTAAACACAGCAGAGGGAACTCTGGATTTTATTTAACCACTCTCCTGGCATAATTATCAAGTATAACAGGTAATGGGGAAAATTAAAGTCAGTACCTAATGGGAGTTAAAAAACCCCCGTTGACCTGCATGTACTCCCCACAGCAACAGCAGCACTGTGTTCATTTCAGAGATTATTCGCTCGCAAGGAACCACATGCCAGCACTGAAATTTACCATTAGCTGTTGGGAAGGCCTTAAGATAATTAGGATGTTCATAAGCAAAGGAGTTGCCAAAGGACCACTGTGGATGAGATGCCACCTACTCTTAATCTGCTCTCTTTGGACAGATTTTGTATCACCCAGAACAGTTCCTTATAAGGTCAGGGTGTAGTGTCTGGATAGACTGTTATATATTCCCCCACAGATGAGAGATCCTCTGTATGCAAGGGTCACCACTTTGGAATTATCAGCAAATGTGAAACTCCACGTCAAGAATAAAGAGGATCAAAGCCCATTTCTCCACCTTCATTTAAACGTGGATATGCAAAGATGATTGAGTAATGTTCACCATATTGATAAAAAAAAAACACATGATCTTATGTCCTATTAATACCTTAGCTATTTCCTTACCAGCAGAAAGAATGACCAGACTGGCCATGGCAAAGCTAACCTGCTAACAAAACCCTAGTGCCACATAGCACAGTATCTGTCCAAGGTCCCCAGGAGGACAAAAGCTGTTATGGGCAGATGTATCGATCTGTAGAACAGCCTGATCCAGACCTTCAGGGCTTGATGGAGCTCCAACAGAGTCCTCCTGTACACCACCAGACAGGCTACAAGGCAGCTAACCAATGAATTTACCCGGATGACACACCACAGTGGAGCAATTTCAAACCTATTTAAAATAATTATGTTCTGGAAAAGCACAAGTGTGGTTTTACAGAGTGTAGAAGAAGATGCTTGTGATCTTGATACTCTGGTCCACAGAGTAATCAAGAAGAGAAAGTCCCCCAAACAAAGGCAGCTGACGCTGTTAGCCGTTGATAACACATATTGAAAATCAAAATTACATCACAATTACATGCCCTGTTCTGCGGTTAATTTCACGGTCTGTTCTCTAGCAGAAAGGAAACGACACTGCTATGGTTCCTATTGTTGTTTGGTGGTGCGTAGAAAGAGGCAGGCAGAGAGTGAGTTATGTGAGACGCTGGGAGGCTCAGACTGGGGTCACATGGTTGTCTGCTGGGGAGGGGGGGGGGCGCAGCTCAGAGTAGTCACAAGCCTGATTTTATGACAGAAGACAGGTCAGGGGAATACACACACATGCACACTAGGCCTGGCATGACTTTTGTTGCACGATACACTGTCCTAGAAATAATTCCAGTAAATTATTTTTTTGTCATTTTAAGACGATTTAATGCCACTGATGCAAACAGGATGAGTACACCCCTTCATAGAACACTGAACTTTTTTAATTTATTGGAATTTGAATGTCAAAAAAAGTAAATATCCTAAACTGAAATAAAATCACACAACCAAAAACTGCACATATCTGATACAGGGCTGTGAACTTGTCATTTGTTAGGTCCTCTGTTAACAAAAAATGCAAAGCAACAACATACAGTATTGGCTGTAAGTTAGATGTGAGTAACAATTTACCTTTAAAACACATTCACTTCTGTGTAGTCATACCAGATTTGCTGTCATAAAAATGACAAGTGGCACAGCACTGTAATGCTAACACAACCCAGATCAACATAATTGCTTAACTTTACTGTGACATAATGAAAAAAATTATGACAAACAATATAATAGGATGATTAAAAAGAATGAGATTATACTTGTGTACCTATAAATACACTGAAATATTTCATCCACACTTTACTTCTGCAGTTCTTGTACCCAGTCAAAAATAAAATAAAGAAATTAAGCCTCCAGACATTTAGTTATTTTCATTTGCTTCAGTGTTACCCACGACATTTGAAAAACCAGACAATTACCAATATCCTCGTAATGGGCAGCAGGAAGCTACCAGCCATGTGGCTTTTAATGTGTATGCGTCACATCCAGTAACATTTGTTTTCGCTTTATATTGTCTGCTTTTATTTAGTTTTATTTACATTGTTTTTATATAATATTATTTTGTGTCACAGTGTGAAGTGTACTGAAAATGATTGGTCTCACTAAGTAATAGACCAGCTTCCAATTATGGGCTTGCAGTGACTGACGATGCACCAAGATGGCAATGCAATGCAATTGTGCAACACTATTACAACCATCCCAGTGCACCCCTAGTGGTCCAGAGCCCCTAGCAAATGCCAGGTTAGCCTGGGCAACATGTCCAGTCCTGCCCCTGTGTGTGAAGGAGCATTCTGTGACACAGAGCAGACAAGAGGGAAGAAGCAACATGACTAGCATTCATTCTTATATAAACAAATATGTATGTAAACACAATTTGTCAATATTGAGGTCAGAGAAAATGATCATGGTCATGTCCATATATTGTGCCTTAAGTCATTGAGTATTGTGACAAGCCTAATGCACACACACACACACACACACACAGAATGCAAAATGAGTCATCAAACATCAAGCCTGATTTTTATTTTAGTTCCCCTATTGACATGGAGGAGGCTGGGTTGGGTTGGGGTGCTTACAGCAAGGGAAGGAGGTATGTAGTGGGGATGTGGAGTGATGAGGAGGTGCTGGGGGAGGCAGTGAACAAGCTAGTCGGGGAGACCGGGACTAGCCTTCTAATAGAAGCTAACAGTGGCTCCAACGTGCAGGGGCGCCACAGAGGTCCTAATCAAAAATGCAGGGCCGGCAGAAGCACGTCTGGAGTTCCACACCGAGGGCAGCCCTAATCCCGGGGGCCCTGGGGCTAAAAGCAGGCATGACGCTGCACCACAGAAATGACAAACACAACGCAGACAGACATATCGTCCCGGCTAGGCTGCAGGAGCATTACACAGCTCCTGTGACCTCAAAACCCCGCATCAAATTGTGTAAGAGCTCCAAAACACAAAGTTCCCAACTAAAAAATAGTGCCATGAATATTTATAATAGAACATTGTAACATGTGTTATAGTTAACAACAGCTCCACAAAGAAGTGTTATGTAGTATAAGACCACCCAAAAGGAGACATCCTCCCCAAAGCTGACTCATAGTGAAACCTCAGGTCCAACCTTGAACCCGGCCCCACCTTACACCCCTGCATGACTCTGAATGGCCAAAATATATGGTCCTGTGAGGGCAATTTAAACTGTGATGGAATCTTCGTTGTTCAAAAAAATTCTACATAAGACTGATATCGCACAGCACCTCATGTCCTAGTGGATGTGACCGGGAATGTGGGACATGAGCCAGGTCCCCACTTAGCGACGGCTCCGTGAGGCGGATTTATCTGGAAACCTTACAGAAAGTCACTCTGATCGATAAGCCAGTCCTGAAGGCTGCAGCAGTGTTTCATAATTACTGCATGCCAGGACGTTACCATACAAGTTTACTCAGTAACTATACAACCACGGCACTGTTACAGAATTCTCTTTTGTATCATTTTAGACATATTATAAGGAGCAATTCATTTCGTAAAGGAATCTACGGCAAAACAGGCAAACACTTTAAGATTAATGGAGGATGCATGTTTAACTGAAAAGCAGAAGAAACCCAGAGTAAGGCTTTGCACTCGCCCCCAGCGTGTTAAATGACGTGCACAGGCGAATAGGCACGCGGGCACGCTGCACATATGGGTGGCCGACGGGGACGTGCGACGCCACTCAGTAGGGCAGATCAAAGTGGGCCACCGGCGCCTTAGCTGCCTCGCCTGCGGCGACCCATTACAGACACGGCCGTCGTACCACTCTTCCCCAGCGCCCCGCCAGCGCCCGCGGGGACCCGCTAAACCCATCACGAGAGAGAGTGAAAATGGAGAAACGATCTTCTATGCGTACTGAATTAGCAGCGAGACGACAGAACAGCGCCGTCGAGCAAATGGAAGGACGTCACAATGCGACTGGTAGCTTCAGCTGTGTAACTGCACTTTGGTCCCGCCCCTTCATCAGCAGTCTGCAGCCAGCCTCAGTCCCAAGCCAGGCTCGTACCCACAGCCATTCTCATTAATTGATTACCATGCCTGACGCGGGCAGACTCACCTAAGCCCCTGCCCCCCCGACGTGTCACACGGCTCTCTGGGTTCATTTCAGGAGCGCTCCAGCCTGCCGATGAAAGAAGAACATTTGGCGGGGGAGAATTCATCATCAGGTATCTGGAGGTTTTCTTAATAGAAAAGGAGACTCCCGCCGTGCAGGCCGACTCCGTCGGCAGGGGCGCGCGGGGCCGGCAGCCGCGGGGGGGTGGGGGGCATGCGTCGTTAGCGTAATTGCACTTGGCGCAGGCCATGCAACGCGTCGCATATATCCGCGTGAACAACGAGGCGACCTTTTGCGTCGTGGCACTGCGCGTCTCGCGTACATGTGCCCGTGAGAGGCACCATTTCATTACTGCCCCCCTTGCCACTCCAAGCCGCCGCTCACGCCGGGGGAGGGGACTTCATTACCTCGGCTACATCAGAATTAGCTCCTCCGTTCGGATAGGGGACCTCATTACAGAAACCGCACTCATCCAGGAGGGATGTGTGAGGCGGCACCGTGAGCCACGTATGGGGTGGGGGGGGGCTCATTTTCCTGAAACAATCAACGTTGGCTGGCCGAAACCATAAGGCACGTCTTTCTTAGTTCCGCATGTTATGAAGGATACCGTATTCTGCATAAATGTGTCATCATATAACTATAAATCCCCATTTCTGTTCATTAAGCTTCAACATTAAGCCGCCAGTTACCACCTGCCTTATTCCAATGGTAGCTTTAACCCAACTGGAGTTAGCTGAGCCATCAATGAGTGACAGCGCAGGATAGCCCCGCCCACTGCAAGTCTGGAAGCATCTCCCGTCACTCAACAAAAACGGCGGATGGGTGGGTGGGACATGTCTGCTGCAGTATCTAGGAACCAGGCATCCTGCCTGGTTCTGGGGAACTCTGCAAGGAGCCCAATGGTCCCTCACTTTTTTCTTTGTTCTGGATATAGGAATCTCAGCAAAGCCAAAAGGGGATCCTATCAGCCGAGAGCCTCCATTCCACAATAGCAGCCGGGAGGGGGCACTAAGGCGGTCCAGTGTTACTGCGGGGAAGCAAGGGGCTTTCCGTGGGAGTCGGGCCAGGAAAGACGGATACCGAAACGGAACCCCCTGTGACCCAGATTGCAGCGCCCACGCATGACCACAGCCTACAGAACTAACTGCTGAAACCCAGGTTGTCGTCTGCTAGCCACATCCTTGAGTCTATTATTTTGGTGTTATATATCACATTACGGAAGCAAAACTGTACAGAACACTACCCCTTAGGCACACACACACAAAGTCCTGATCCTGTTAGGGTCAATGGACCCCGATGTCAAATTGCAGTACTTGTAATGCACCTTGATCCCAAGGAAAATCTTAAAATTTGATGCATCTGGATGGACATCACGTAAGAGGGATTAAATCCGCAAACTTCAAGGAAATGGCATCCTGCACATGGCCCTGGTGTGACCCTGTTATAAACACACTAGGCATTTGGATGTATACACTCACCTAAAGGATTATTAGGAACACCTGTTCAATTTCTCATTACATGGCAGTTGCTTCAATGCATTTAGGGGTGTGGTCCTGGTCAAGACAATCTCCTGAACTCCAAACTGAATGTCAGAATGGGAA